CATGGAATACCACCCAAGGTCGTAGTAACCAGGAGTTTGGTCACTTCGTTCTCAGTTGCGCACTTGACAAGGAGTGCACCACAGGAAAGTTTCTGTACACATGTGGGAATGTATCCCAGAACTTTCCGTAGAGCATCTCCTGTCTTAATTTTAAAGAGGTTGAGATCAGTAATTCTTCTCTGTGCGTCTTTTGTACTGGAGATGGCCACGTACGGTTGCCTCAGAAGCTCCTTGGGAGGAGGGAAAAAGGAGGCATCGGTAAAGGTCCTTTTACCAAATTTGGAATGTGGAAGAAAGATAAGGGTAGACCCAAAACAATTTGCAATAGAAATGAAACGTTGGTTCGATAGATAAAATTGCATGTAATGACATATTAAAAATCGGCATTCGAAATCGTGGAGGAAATTGTTTAAAAAAACGTTAAAAGTTGTCAAAAAAGCAAAATTTATATTACGACCAAATTGGTTTATCATACATGCTTTGACTCGAGAATGTTTACGTGATTTGTACGGATTTTCCCGAAAATGGTGTAATCGTCATTGGTATCAGCGTTTTTTTGTGTAAACGTATTGGAAGCCAATATATTAAGAATACGTTTTCTCACATCCTCAGCCTTTCAGTGGATATTTATTGTTTACCGTGTAATTACCCTCTAAAGAATTTCCTCTTGTGCTATTGATATAGCAAGGTGTGAATACTATTCTGGCCGTTGTACAACATAGAAAGAACAATATAATAGATGGGACTGAAGGGCACCGAGTGCGCATTTCGTGTCACCGATCTTAAATAAGTGCAAAATCTTTTTTTTTGCAAAACATAGAAAGACTAGTCACAGTCCAGGAAGCTTAACAGGCTAAAACACAAACTTTGGTTAAGTCTCCAAGAGTTCCTATTTAGTACCTGCTGATTATTTAAGGTCTGAAAAGAAAACTTTGCAGTCGAGCAAAGTCATAGAAACCTATAATGGCATTAGCGTGTGAACCGAGACTCGAAGTCAGGACTTAATAAAGAAAGTACGAACGAACAACGACTTTTCTTGGTTGTCTTTATTCAGTTACGACTTTAAAATTTTCAATCAGCGTCCATGTTCTGTTACATTAGAA